GCCCGATATATATTGGAAGTTACCCTATCAGCGCGTGCGCAATTTACACTACCAGCACACTTCGGTAAGATCAAACAAAGCCACACGGAGTTAGCTTTTCTCTATCTATTGCTCTTGTTTTTCTGTCTTTCTCTTATTTTGTCTTTGCTTGTCCTTTTTTTACTTTGCATTTTGTGAAACAGAGAGAAAAACATCTAAAATGTGAGCGAATTTGGAGGTTATTGAGTTATTTTTATTTTCTTCGCTCAGGCTGACGTAAGTAACCGGAAGTGAAATTTCACCTCCTTAGCAACGCGCGCAAGCCCGCGCATAAATCGGTTAATGGGCCCTTAAACGATCATTTTGAAATTTTCACACATTTACATAGCAATTTCCTTTAGAAAACCGCGCACTTGCCCGATTTTCTCCACAACAGAATTTTGGAGCGGATAAATACAATAGAGTAATTTTTCGTGACTCGATCCACACATGAAAACCTAGTCTGTTCACAGACGTTTATTTTATTTTACTTTTTTTGTGACGAGTTATTTTTCTTCGAGCGTGTGAGCGATGCGAGCGCGAGGCGTGAGAGCGGCCGCGTGAAAGCCCCGCCCCCTTGCATTCTAGCGCGGTTAATGTTTTGCTAAGCTTGCGGACTCGACAAACTCAAGTCAAAATAGAGGGTCTGTGCACAGACTAATAAAAACCTGAATCTCAAAGTTTTCTTTCTTTATTCAGATCGTAAATAAATCCATGTTTTCATTTTCAGTCCATATTCAGTGATCTCCAACTAAATGAATAAATAACCATTGATGAAGTTTATCATAATGTGAAACATATCTTGGCTTGTGTTTGTTTTAATACCACAACATGATTTTCCCCATTGCACCTCTGCACAAGCTACCTTCTGTGATTAAGAGTTTATCATTATAAAGCTCAGGGCAGTTTTAAGCGCGAAGCCCGCTCATGGTCTTGCTTTAAGTCTTAAACTTGATTATAACTTTCCCGTGGCCTTTATTAACACCCGCCGCGTTCAGTTGATTTGTTCCGCTATTATACGATCCTCCTCCCCCTGCTACACCACTTGACGAGGTCCCAACAACTCCCCCACCGGAATACCCACCCCCACCACCACCAAGTACAAAGGCGAATGCGCCCCCACCGAAGCCTCCTTGGGACACCGGACATGTTCCCCCAGTTCCGCCATTAATAAAACTTGAGGGCATCTGTGCAATCCCAGGTCCCCCGTTCCCATCCCCCTTTAATCCCGCTCCTCCCCCGGCCGCTAAATCGTGGTCAATGTTACCCGTATCAGCATCACAGACTTGTCCACCGGACCCTCCCGTCCCACCACACCTGGTGCCATTCTCTGTTGTCTGACCAGGAT